TCAAGCTTTTCTTGCTAGGCCTAAAATCATGAAATCTCATGCCCACTGGTCGAAGCTCTGAGCTTTCCCAGGTATGGCCAGCAGGTAGGAAGTGTGCTTACCTCTGAGGGGCAGGACTCTGCCGTAGCCCAGCCAGTGTGTCCAGCTCCTGCATGCTGCCATGGCTGACTGAGGCCGTGGAGTTGGCAAGGCGGATGGCACGGCGCTTGGCCCTGCGAGGGCAGCAGGAAGATAGTAGGCTACCAGGCCCCACTGGCTGGGAGGACACAGAGGTGCTGCGGCTGGTGCGGCCTCCCAGTGAGACAGCTCCCAGGGCTTCACTGAAGGTTAGCTCATCTGTGAACTCATGGCACTATGGGCAGAAGGGAGGCAGGGTCACAGGGCACCCCGTGGGAGTACCCCTCTCATCCCTTTGTTCTGGCTATCCCCTCTTTTCTGAAATTCGCTCCCTGCCCCCCTTTCCTTGCCCACCATTCAAGGCTTAGCTCTGTTCCAGGAAGCTCCGAGTGATTTCCACAATTAATAGTGACCCTCCCACCCAGGGGAGGGAGCTGGCTTGGCAGCAGAGAGACCCCCTCCATTCTGCCATGCCATCTCTCAGTGGGCCTCACCGTTGTCTTCTCTAGACAATGCAGCAAGTGGTGATGTTGCTGCTCAAAAGCAGAACGATTCCTGACACACAGCACCTGCTCCTCTCCACTGCTGCTCTCCTGGAGTGAACAGAACAGAGAGATAAGGGTAGTACCCTCCTCCACTATCATCACTCACCCCTAACCCCAAACTGGGCCCTACTGACCTCACGGCCCCTGTTCTGCTTATACTGCAGGAAGGCGTTAGTGGTACCACTCTTTGCCAACCGAATCCTTGCCAAACGCACCTTCTACAGAGAGAGGAGGAGATAACAAGTCAGGTGGGTAAACCCCAAAGTAGACTGGCTTGGAGTGTGGGGAATAAGAGGTGCTCAGATGGACGATGCAGTTACCTGCTGTGCTCGGCGCTTGTCAGCCCGCTGGTTCTGGTGGTAGATGCGGCTAAAGTTGGACACAATGACTGGCACAGGCAGGGCAATGACCAAGACGCCACTGAGTGAGCAGATGGACCCGAAAATCTTGCCAGCAATGGTGCTGGGCACCATGTCTCCATAGCTGGAGCAGGGGAAGATGGGCCCAGATCAGAAAAGTGCCCACCCACCTCTCAGTCCCCCCTTCCATCCCATCTAAACCTGACACACTCTGCCACCCTGGCCAGGCACTCCAATTCTCTGAGCCTCCATTTCTTGCTGTGAAAGATGTGGGCAATGACCTCTCTAGCTACCCACTAGTGTGGGTCAGATGAGAAATGGGCCTGGCCCTCAGCCCCTACCATCTGCTGCCCCTATCCAAGCTTCATCCTGAGCTTCTGAGTCAGCTGGAAATCTATTAATACCAAGCAGAGGAGAGAGTGAGGAAATCACAGGCAGTAAACACAGGCCCCTATGGAGAGAGTCCCAACACCTCAGGCCAGCAAGGGGCTTTGTGTCCTAGGAGGAATGTTCTGTTGGTTTTGCAGGCCTCTGTCTTACCTTCTCTCCCTTTTTTTTTTTTTTTTTTTTGAGACAGAGCCTCAAGCTGTCCCCCTGGGTAGAGTGCCGTGGCATCACCGCTCATAGCAACCTCCAACTCCTGGGCTCAAGCGATTCTCCTGCCTCAGCCTCCCAAGTAGCTGGGACCACAGGGGCCCGCCACAACGCCTGGCTATTTTTTGGTTGCAGCCGTCATTGTTGTTTTGGGGGGCCCAGGCTGGATTTGAACCCGTCACCTTAGGTGTATGTGGCTGGCACCTTAGCCACTTGAGCCACAGGCACCAAGCCAAAACCCCTTTTTGTTCCCCTAGAGCAGTGGCTCTCAACCTTCTTAATGCCATGACCCTTTAATACAGTTCCTGTGGGTCACAACCCACAGGTTAAGAACTGCTGCCCTAGAGGAATTCTTGAAAACTGTCTTTATATAACAAAATAGGGGGAGGCTTGAACCCCCCCCTTCTTCATGCTACTCCACTCCCATAGTGATGGAGAAGAGCCAACCTAACTTGTTTCACAGAGAAGGAAACTGAAGCTCAGTGAGGTTCTATAACTGACTTGCCCAAGATCACACTGCATACTTTTGTTCTAATCACAGGACCAATCAGAACTCCTCCATAGAAATGCAGCCTCTGCAGTCTTCAGCCTCTAGGCCTTTGCTCAGGTGTTGCCCTAGGATGGCTTTTCCTTATTTCCGTATTTTGATTCATTTTAAGCATTCAGGACTCTGCTCAAAAGTCTCTCTGACTTGGCCATTTCTGGCTCTGTGATGTGTCATCTCAGACCATGTCCTCAACTAAGACATGGGCAGCCATCCATCCTCACAGTGTTGTTGTGAGGACTGAATAAAGAGCATCAAAATACTCAGTGTCAACCCATTGTCAGGACTCAATATTTGTTGCTCTGATCCTGAACCTCTAACCAGAATTAATTTCTACCCCTTAGAAACCCCAAATCAATTTTCGTACCACTATTAAGATGCTGAGCAAGCCCAATTCATTCAGTAATTCACTCAACAGATACTGAACATCAACTGTATATCTAATCCCCTTGATGGAAACATAGACAAGGATCACAGAATCTGCCCTAGACAATATCTGTGGGAATGCAATGAATTCATACTTTTATTTCTGAGACAGAGTCTCACTCCGTTGCCTAGGTTAGAGTGCTGTGGTGTCAGCCTACCTCACAGCAACCTCAGGCTCCTGGATTCAAGTGATCTTCCTACTTCAGCCTCCCACATAGCTAGGACCACAGGTGTGCATCACCACACCTGGCAGGTTTTTCTATTTTTAGTAGAGATAGGGTCTTGCTCTTGCTCAGGCTAGTCTCCACTCCTGAGCTCAAGCGATCCTCCCCTGAGGCCTGCCAGAGTGATGGGAGGCCTAAGTCACCCTTTTCTGGGCTGAATTGATACTGCCTAAGCCACCATTCCTGAGCTGAATCGATACTTTTATCCCAACTCTGTTTACTCTCAAGGATTGGAAGCAAAAAATAATGCTAAAAATATCTTGTTCTGGGAAACAGCAAGGAATCACAAAGCCACAGAGCTAGTGCCCCACATCGCAGACAATTCTAGAAGATTGGAAGACATGGGTCCTCAAAATGGAAAAAAGGGTGATATAGAAAGCCAATACTAATGTATTCTGTACCAGAAACATTCAGAAAACTTCCACAACTGTGATGTCATTGAATCCTCTCTAGATGATGAAGGGATTATCATTTCCCTTTTACAGAGAGGGAAACTGAAGCCCTGAGGAAACAACATCCACAAAAAGAGAGCAGTTGAGATGATCCTTGAATCCAAGTTTCTGAATCTACAAAATCAAGGCACTATCAGAACAAGGAGGAACTGGAAGATTAAGTCCAACTCACTCAGTTTTTACAGATGAGCAAACTAAAGCACAAAGTGAAAGAAAAATCATTCATCTAGGCTCAGGGCCTGAAGCACAGTGGTTATGGTGCCAGCCGAGGGTGGTGGGTTCGAACCCGGCTCAGGCCAGCTAAACAACAACTGCAACAAAAAAATAGCCAGGTATTGTGGTGAACACCTGCAATCCCAGCTACTTGGGAGGCTGAGGCAAGAGAATCACTTGAGCCCAAGAGTTTGAGGTTGCTGTGAGGTGTGATGCCATGGCACCCTACCCAGGGTGACATAGTGAGACTCTGTCTCAAAAAAAAAAAAAAAAGATCATTCATCTAACCTTCTTAATTTTAGGAAAAGGGAGAGTGTAATCAATTGATCAGGAACTCCCCAACACAGGGGTCTACACTCACCCAAGTGTGGTCATGGTGACAATGGTATACCAGAAGGCTGCAGGGATGCTGGTAAAGTTGGTCTTGTTTGTGCCCTTCTCAGCATAGAACATGACAGTGGCGAAGATGATTATGGCCATGGTGAGGGAAAAGAGGAGAAAGCCCAACTCAGATGCACAGCTCTTGAGTGTGTAGCCCAGAATCCTCAAGCCCTGTGAATGCCTGGAGAACTTGAAGATGCGGAACACCCGGAACACACGCAGGGTGACAAAGGCGCCTGAGACATCCTCATTCTTGGGCACAAAAAGCCCAATGTAGTATGGCAGGATGGCCACCACATCAATGAGGCTCATGACACTCCGCAAGAAGCGACAACGGCTGGGGGCGGCAAACAGCCGCAGGAGGTATTCACCTGTGAATATGAGTACGCAGGCCGTGTCCATGCAGAAAAAGGCCACTGGGAAGCGCTCACCACAGGGCAGCTCTCTCGGGGACCGGCGCGCCGAACCCCGGCACGGGATGGTCTCCACCACATTGGCGATGACTGACACTGCGATGAAAAAGCCGGTCACGTAGTAGAAAACAAGGGCCGCGGTGCTCGTGTGTGGGTTCTCGAAGGCCCGCCAGAGCCGCTGGCGCAGGGAGCTGCCCGCCGGCAGGGCTGGGCCGTCTCCGGCCTGCTCGGCCTCCTCGTCCTCTGCCAGGCGCTCAGCGTTCTCCTTCTTGCGGTCCCGATACTCTTCAAGGCAGCAGTCGCCAACGAGCTCTGGGACCAGGCCATAGAAGGCCAGCTCTTCGTCGAAGGCCTGGATGCACTCCTGCCGTGGGCAGTGCAGCCGGCCTGTGCGGTAGAAGTTCAGCACGTGCCGGAACATGTCCGGGTCACGATCAAAAAAGTACTCGCCCGAGTCAGCGTCATAAAAGAACTCTTTCTCCGAGCTGCCCAGCAGGGTGTCTGGGTAGCGATCCAGTGTGTTTTTCCAGGTCTCAAAGCGCCGTCCACTCACGTTCACCACCAGAACCTCATCCCCGCGAGATGCCTTCACCCCCGGCGCCGGGGGCAGGGGCTGCTGGGCCAGGGGCAGCCAGCCCACCGCCGCCGCCCGGGCAAAAGGCAGCCATGTGGCCACACCTGCCGCCATCCTGCCGCTCCCCCGGCCCACGGAGACTTGGGGGGGGGTGGCGTTTAGGAGAAAGTGGCTGTCTCCAGGTTGGTGGGCTTGGAGAGGCCCTGGGCCACCCGGACAAGGAGACTGGGGGTGTCTAGAGAGGCCAAGAGGAACCAGGAGGAGGAACTAGAGAAATGGGCAGGGGCTTGGAGGGCATTTACAGGATCTAGGAGGGGCCTGGGCAATGTCTAGGGGCTGAGAAGGGGAGAGGACATGGACAAAAGCAGAAAAGGTGTTTCCAGAAAGGCCAAAAAGAATCTGAGGGAAATTTTAGAGATACTGAGATGATTCTAGAAGGGTCAACATGTGCCTGAGAGCTGCCTAGGGGGTGTCTAAGGGTCCAAGAAACGTGAGGAGTTGTCCACAGTCTCAGGGAAGGAAGAAGGGCCTGGAACCTCTTAGCAGGATTGGAGAGGTTGGGGCATTCACAGAGGTAGAAATGGGACAAGAGATGCTTGAAAGAGGCTGACAGTGTCTAGAAGGGGGGGTAGTCTAGAGGGACTGAGACAGGTGAGGAGGGTTGTCCACACCCTCAAGACTTCTGGGGGGGGAGATATGGGGGTTGGAGGACCTTCCTGGATCTGGAAAGGGGGCTGGTGCATTTAAAGGGGTGGCTATAGCGCCAGGAGGTTGTAAAGAGGCTGAAAGGTGTCTGGGGAGTGCCTAGAGCTGCCAAGAATAGCCTGGGGGGTTGTCTACACTCTACAGGAGTTCTGGGGAAGGAAGGGGAGGTGAGGGCCTCCTGCAGGGCTGGGGAGGGGTGTGGGGAAATCTAGAGCGGTAGATATGCGGCTAGGTTACTTTTTAAGAATCTGAGAGTTATCTGGGGGAGGAGGGTATCTAAAGAGGTTAAGAAAACCTGGTCCACACCCTTAAGAGTTTTGCGAAGAGGAAAAAGGGGCCTGGGGAATCCTGAGGGTCTGGGGCTCAATTGGAAGGAAGTTGGGCACAGTCCAAGAGCATTCAGGGGACCTGAAAAGACTAAGAGGAAGGGGGATCCCCCAAATGGGCCGGAGAGGGGGGTGGGGTATTGAAAGAGAGTTGGGTGTGTCTCCAGGGAAGGGGGCTGCTGAGCCTTTCAGGAGGCTGTTGGGGAGGTCTGGTGAAGGCTGGGTCCCACTGTTGGGGGCAGGTCTGGGGAAACCACACCCCAAGGGGCTGGCGGTGTGTGCAGGGCAGCGGTAGCGGCAGCAGTGGCAGCCGCGGCAGCTGAAGAAGAGAAGCGGCCACAGCCAGGCTTCAGAGAAGAGGCAGCACGGGCAAGGGGAGGGGGATGGGCCCTTGGATGGAGGCTCTGGAAGGGCAGGGTCCAGAAGAATCCCTGGGGACTATTCCAAAACGGGCTAGGGCGTGAGGGCTAGACCAAGGTAGAACAAGGACCACATTATTGGTAGCCTCCTCCCCCTCCCCATCGGGCGTCCTCACCTGTGTTCCTGCTGCAGGAGCAGCAACAGCGGTGGGGCTGGGGGTAACAAACACCGGAGATCCTGGCCCCCTCTGCAGAGCTGCCTGAGTTCTCCTCCTCCTCTGGCTGTCTCTCCCCGCCCCTTCGAGCTTGCCGGGAGACGGAGAGAGAGGCAGGGAGGGGCCTCGTGGCTCCCCGAGCCCCCTCCCCTAGGACAGCCTGAGAGGGACCCTGGGGAGACTCCGCCCCCTACAAAGCTGGTTGGGCCTCAGTCGCGTCATCTGGAAAATGGGGGTGGCAGGGAAATTTGCCAATTCTCCCCACCTCCTTCCTGGACTCCCCTGTCTTCCAGCCCAGCTTCTACCCCCTCTGCCCCCAGGGGCCCCCACCCCCACCCGCCTGAATCAGCAGCACTTAGCTGATCCGATCGATGGGCAGGCGTCTGTTAATGGCCCCAGAGCAGAGTGCCATGGAGAATGATGCAGCGCTGTCCCCTCCCTGCCCCCCAGACCGTAGAAAGGTAGGAGAAGTGGGGGTGGGGGTAACTGGTGGGTAGTGTTCCCCTGGGTGGCCAGGTCTCCAAAGCTGCCCCTGGGTGAGGGAGTGTAGCCTGGGTTGGAGCCCCAGCTCTAACCAAGACTTCTGCTGTAAGACCAGAGTTTGCATCTTCCTGTTTTGGAATGTGAAATGAGGGGTTGGGAGTGCAGAGGCAGACAATCCAGGTCCCCCCACCACCAAGTTCTCCCCAGGCAGGCCCCATTCCAAAGGGACAGTCTCATGGATGAAGAGAATCTGTCCACATTCAGTGGCCTCAAATCACACCTCCTCTCCTGGGCAGCGGCACTGAGTACAGAGTGCTTCTAGAAAGTTGCAGGTGGGTTCAAATTCCAACTTTGCCATTGACTTGCTGTGTCTTTTTTTTTTTTTAAGAGATGGGGTCTGGCTATATTACCCAGGCCGGAGCGCGGGGGCTGTTTTGTTTTTTGAGACAGTCTTACTTGTCACCCTCAGTACAGTGCCGTGGTGTCACAACTCACAACCACGTCAAACTCTTGTGTTCAAGCTATTCTTATGTCTCAGCCTCCCAAATAGCTGGGACTATCACAAAGCCCGGCTTTTAGAGACAGTCTCACTTTGTTGCCCTTGGTAGAGTGCTGTGACATCACAGCTCACAGCAGCCTCCAGCTCTTGGGCTTAGGCGATTCTCTTGCTTCAGCCTCCCAAGTAGCTGGGAC